GATGCAGTTTGGCCTCTAGTACCACTTGGGTGAGTGTGAGTGCTCCGATGACTGGTAGTATGGGCTCCGACTACCTGCAGAACGCTTGCAGTGGAAGCAATGGTTTCCTTCAGGCTGTAGCCAACCTCATCGGCCAGTGTCCTGCCAGTAACGCTGTCCTCGGGATGGCGTATCAAAACGAGGCGCGCAGCTCCTCAGCTCTGAACTCGGCGTATGTCGCGGCTCAGTCTGCTTTCCGCTCAAATGTCGATGCCGCGATGTGCAGCAATGGCCACTCGGGTCTGCTTTCAACGGATCAAATTGTGTACAAACTGGGGGGCTCTTTGATTCCTCACAAGTCGTCTCAGAATGACGGAATCGTCGAGTACAAGAGCTGTGCTGGGGGCCTATCCACGTCCAAGTTCGGTAACAATTATGCCGATACGTTCTACGTGACAGGTCTCAACCATGCCGACACAGCTTTCCGCCACGGAGACGCGTTGGTGGTGAACTCTCAGAAGCCGGTGAAGTGGTTTGAGTGCTTGCTGTAAGTGCTGAGTAAAAGTCAAGCCAGTTTCAGCTGTAGTCACTCTCAAGTTGAGAGCTACTGTATGTGGTTTCTTGTCGAGAGAATTTCTGTGTTTCCAATGAGCTTCTGTTTAACGGCAATAAAATGACTTGTTTTGGACATGATATTTTTTTATTGACCTACAGATCTTTCAGCAACTTCAACTTTATAAACTGTTTTTTTTTTTTTGTCATTCAAATTCTGTGACCCTAATGCCACTCGTCGTCGAAGCGTATTCGCGGATAACTCTAATGCACATTACAAACACTTCATCACTCTTGAAATAAAACAGCTCGTGATGTCGGTACACTGCACACTGCAGTACTTTAGTACGTAGTAATAACGATCCCAGCTTATTATAAGTTTACCAAGCGGAGTACTGGCTTGCAGGGTCTGTCATTCCACCCAAACATTGCGTTGTCGAGTATCATGGCGCTCTCCACGTCCAAGTTTGGTACAACTTAAGATAACACTTTTACTTGTCCGGGATCACCTTAAGAAACAGTGGCTCCTCCATCATGAATTCGCAGAAGCCGTCAAGTGGTTCGAGTGTCTGCTGTGCTGGTAAGAAGCAAGAATACTCATTGCTGGAAGGATCTGTACAAGATAGCCATAGTTAGGATACAATCGCATCATCCGGAAGGCGTCGCCTTCATTTGTTACGAGTGAATACATGCCAGTGGCATGTATGGCATTGCCACGACTCGGGTGAAACATTATCGGTGGGCTAAATAGATCACTTGAAGCGAAGTTTTGCGGAAACTTCAATGATAGGCACGGACCCCCCCCCCCTCCCAACATGAACCACACTAGATGAAAGGCGACAGCTTCAACAGATTTAGATCATCTTTCACTCGGAAACGAGTTTGATGCCAGCGAAATCGACGGTGATTGTCACGACGGAGCTTAGTGGCAGGTTCAATTCCGAGTAAGCAGGCTAACTTATTAATAGCGGGGCAGTCCAGCTTTGTCGGTGTTCGAGCATCTGCCCATCACTTCGAAGTTGGCGAGAGGGTCTTCCTGGATGATCTGTTGATCCCACTCCTATCACGCCTTGAAGTGCGTGGCCACGGGTCACACCCAGCGGGCCACTGGCCCGCTGGACTGTTGATGGAATGACCTCTACCGTTGCCAGGGTCCTGGAAAATTATGAAAAGTGTCCTGGCCCAGGACACTTTTCATCTCCGCCTTCCTGGATGTGTCAGGAAGCCGCCGTATGTTGCTTCAATCTCCACCTCTGTGCTTCTTTGCGATTCAATCACTGCAGCTGCGAGAACCCATCTCAATGGGGAAAGCGACAAGTCCAAAGCTAAATCATAGCGTCCAAGTCGTTAGTTACTTTGTGCTCTAGTCTACAGCTTCTACCAAGGATTCCAGTCATCACTGATCTCACTTTCCATTTCCCCTCGTTCCAAACAACTACGCACCACACTTCTTCGCCACCTTACCCCTCCACTCCATCATGTGGGCCCTCAAGTCTCCGCATCGATTCCTCGCCTTCGCTCTTATTGCGCTGTTCGCACCGACAACCATGATGACATCCGCCAACCAACAAGTCGAATCGAATCATCGTCGACTTGCAACTCTTGCCGACGCACCCTCTCTACGACTCCGATTCACGCTCAAGCGACCCACCATGAACGTCTACAGACAGACGCAGTTCTATGTCTTCGCCAACCCCGTCGTGTCCTCTGAAAACACCTCCGTGCTCTACGATGG